CCCCTGACAGGGGTTCTCCAGGGCCCGCGAGTGGGTCTCCGCTCCGCCGAGCACACCCTGGCTGCAGGGGGGCCGCCTGCCATCTTCACACCTATTTGCGAGGGAAAACTTCAGCTCCAGCACCCCTCCTCCTGCTCCATCCTGACTGACCTGGTCGTTGTGGTTGTTTTCTCTTAGATCTTATTCCTCTCTGGGTGAACTCAGCCCGGTGGGCACCCCCGGGAGCGAGGCGCTTCCCGAGCCCCCCATGCGGCCCTGCCGGCGCCATCTTGAGCACGTGGCGCCGGCCCAGCGCGAGCAGCCGCCCAGCTGGGGGCCAGGGAGCAAGGGCAGCACCCTCCGCCCCTCTCCTTGTTCCTGGGCAAAGCACCTTTTCCCATCCCTTTGTCCCAACTTAAATAGGACAATTTGCAGAGGCGCGGATTTGGCTCAACCCCCCGAGGGGGCTGGGACTCAGATCTGGTGGCACAGGGAGCAAATCCCTCTCCTGCCACCAGAACATCCCCCCCCGCCACATCAAACTATCACAATATTGTATGATAAGTCATCACCAAATTTTGTTTCGATAAAACTATTTGCTAGTCTTCAGAAGAAGAAGGATGAAAGGATTGAAAACTGCAAGTATGTGGAAGAAGAATATCTGCTCCTTTAAGGGTGTCTGGTCAAGGTCAAGGACCTTTTCAAAGCAAAGAAGGGATGAGAAGAGGAGGAAACGATAAACAAGAACATGATGGACAAATGATGAGAGGCAGTGTATGCAGGAGTGTGAAAATGTTTATTCCAGCAAGGTTATCAGATTGAGCACATCCTATATTGGGATGATAAGGAAAAGGAAGGAGACAAACACACAGATATCAAACCTGAACAATTAGCACAAACAAAGACAATAACCTGAAAAAAACACACCACTCTGGTCATTCACACCAATTGTTGGGCTGTCAAGAAACAGCAGGCTATATGGCTTTTGGCTGGGATAATTTCTTCATAGTAGCTGTCATGGTGCTGTGTTCCGCAGTTGTGACCAAAACAGTGCTGCCAGCACACCCATGTTTTAGCTCCCACTGAGCAGTGCCTACGTAGTGCCAGGGCCTCCTGCCACGCTGCCCCACCAGCGAGTAGGCTGGGGGCACACAACGAGTTGGGAGAGAACGTTTCAGGAGCCCAGCCGACCAAAGGGATGTCCCATACCATACAGCGTCAACGCTCAGCAAGGGGATAAAAAGAGAAGGAAGGAGAGGTGTTTGGATTTATGGAATCTGTCCTCCCAACTGAGTGTTATGTGTGATGAAACTCTGCCTTCTGACAACGGCTCAACACCTGCCCGCCGATGGGAAGTGAGTGAATCAACTCCGTGTTCTGCTTTGCTTGCCTGCATCTCCCAAAAAACAAGTACATGAGCAAGGCAGGTGCAGCACTTGGTGCCAGCAGCTGGAGCAGGACCGCAGGTCACCATCCACGTACCCTGTGCTGGCTGATGGGGGGTACTCAAGGGATCTACAAATACGTATGTGCCCGTGAACCTAGAGCGTTGTGAGTGTACCTCCACTCGTGACCTTCTGTCTCTGCCAGATGAAGAGGAAGAAGGGGACGTGGCTGCCTGTGCCTGTTGTACGTGGCTCCTGGAGGTGGGTGCATGTTGCTGTATGTCGCTGCCCCAGCCGTACCAGTGTCCTCCATGTCTGTACGTGTCTCTGGCACACAAGGTCAGCGTCGCTGCCGGGAACCTGCGAGTGGGAAAGCAGCAGCCGCATCCTCGAGGCCAGGGCACGCACACCCCTGGCACCGGGTACCCACAGCTGGGCTCCAGCAGCTGGCAGGGGTCGTCCTGCGCCCGAGCTGCTGCAGGTGGTGGCCACTCCTAACATCCTGTAACGGAAACACGAGTTAGGAGAACGGAGTGTTGGAGAGAAGCGGGATGGTCTTACAGTCAGTCCCACCAGCGGCTTGTAACTCAGTTTTGTCTTGGCAGCTTAGGCCAAAACAGAAGTTTTCTGGCATACACCAACTGGTTCATTGTGCGGAACCAGCTAGGGCTGTTAACGAGAAACACTTCTTCTCGTTACTGGTGTCAGGGAGCAGCAAGAGGAAGGCTGCTCCAGGAGTGAGGAAGAGCCAGGAGCAGAGGGCGGCCGCAATGCAGGCGAAGCAGCACCCCTGCAGCTGGGGCACAGCCTGCAGGACCAAACCTGGTAAGCAGGACCAGGTGGTGAGAGCAACTGCTCCCATCCGAGGCCAATCCAGGAAATCCAAACATCCATTCAGGAAGAGGGCTGGGCCCAGGCCCACCTACAAGACAGCTTAGGGAGCACAGGATGCTGAGCCGGAATAGGGTCTGTGGGCCCGTGGACGGGGAGCGGGCAGGGGTCCCTGGCGAGGCTGCTTAGGGCCACTAAGGCCCAATACTGCCCTCAGGGCTCTGACCATCGGATTCGCAGAGGACAGCAGGTTCAAACCTGAATTATTTTCCCTCTGAGCAGCACGTTATGCATCCCCTGGATGGCAGGGCTGGGCTGTATCCTTGTGCAGGACTTAGGTGGGAAGTGTAAGAGCGCTGGGGCTGGAGAGACGTCACCTTTGCTGGTCCATCTAGCCTCCTCCCCTCTAGAGCACGGAACGGACATCTCACTGCATACTCCTGCGTGCTGTACCAGCATTTCTCCCACTTTTATTTATTATAGATAAAAAACCATCAACACATTTTCTTGCAGTTGTAACTTCCGATCTGTTTTCAAAAACAGCAGTCACAGAGCCCATGCGGCTGAAAGGCTATTAGAAATAGTTCTTATGCTATACTAGAAAAGCCATTTCCATCAGGCTCAAAGGAGAAAATCCAAAGACTTCAAAGCCTACTTTCACAGTGCATACTCTTATTTCGTACTCTGATGGCTTTTCCCCTCTCTTCAGGAGAATTTTTCAGGAATGCTTACCACATACCTCTTACCACACAATTGCTGTAACCTGGTGTACAGCTATTTTCATCTTACACAGATTTTTTTTTGAGTAACTGCAGTTGCCCATGAAAACTAACAGGACTTGGAAGATGCTTTCTGGCTAGTCTGATAGAAATGGTGGAAGAAGGCAAAGCAGCGTAACATTCCCAGGCCACTGCCTCTCCTTCAGCCTTTTCTTGACCATTTGCATCTGCAATAACAGAAAGATTAATTGCTCCCTTAACCCCAATGCTCCTTGGAAAAAAAAAAAAACAAACGACAACAACAAAGCACAACATTTCAGAGTTATTGTCTAGCAGAAGCTCCTAGTCCCGTTTGGCAGCAAAGACTCACTATTTCTAAAACAAGAATCATAGAATGGTTAGGGCTGGAAGGGACCTTCAAAGGTCATCTAGTCCAACCCCTCTGCAAGGAACAGGGATATCTCCAACTAGATCAGGTTGCTCAGGGCCTCGTCCAACCTGGCCTTGAACATCTCCAGGGATGGAGCATCCACCACCTCTCTGGCCAACCTGTTCCAGTGTTCTACAACTCTCATGGTAAAAAATTTTTTCCTAATATCCAATCTGAATCTACCTCCCTCTATTTTAAAACCATTACCCCTTGTCCTATCACAACAGGCCTCCTGACCAGCCTCTCCCCATCTTTCCTGTAGGCCCCCTTGAGGTACTGGAAGACCGCTATAAGGTCACCCCGGAGCCTCCTCTTCTCCAGGCTGAACAGCCCCAACTCTTTCAGCCTGTCCTCATAGGAAAGGTGCTCCAGTCTTCTTATCTTCGTGGCCCTCCTCTGGACCCTCTCCAACTGGTCCATGTCTTTCTTATGTTGGGGGCTCCAGAACTGGACGCAATACTCCAGGTGGGGTCTCACGAGGGCAGAGTAGAGGGGGAGAATCACCTCTGTTGACCTGCTGGCCACGCTCCTCTTGATGCAGCCCAGGATGCGGTTGGCCTTCTGGGCCGCAAGAGCACATTGCCGGCTCATATTGAGCTTCTTGTCCACCAGTACTCCCAAGTCCTTCTCCTCAGGGCTGCTCTCGATCCATTCACCACCCAGTCTGTATTTGTGCCTGGGATTGCCACGACCCAGATGTAGGACCTTGCATTTGGCCTGGATGAACTTCATGAGGTTGACATGGGACCACTTCTCCAGAAGTTTCACAAGATATTCAAAACCCTGTGAACTATTAAAGGCTATAGAGAACATAGCTAGATAACAAATAGAATCACATACAGAATAAAGAGGAAAAGACCTCAGAAGATAACCAGAAAGCAGAAGCAGTACTGCTGTCACTGAGACAGTCATGCTCATGGCTGCTTGGCATCAGAGCCCAGATGCAGCCTCACCACACCCGACGCCACAGCGACACAGTTTGTCCAGTGCTTTCCCTCTGGGAAGGGAAAAAAAGAACCCACGATCCACGGATAACCTGCCCTTTATTTCACATCAGTTGCTGTGTTCAGATCAAAAGATAAAACCAGGTACAAACGGATGCTGCTGAGCTCTGTCACATCCCATTGCACGCTAGCAGCCACAGGAAGCTCCTCCGCCTCAGACACGCTTCTGGCAGCACCAAGTCCATATACATCACTGCTGGAACAGAATCACTTCAGGAGGGCTGTGCTTACCTGTGCAGGCAAACACCAACCTGCCAACCCTCCGGAGGGCTCTCCTGGTCCATGGAGGCACAACAGCTTGCTTGGAGATCCCTGAACTTGGAGCTGCATTGGCCAATACTGAACACATCCAGCAGCAGCTCCAGAGGTCAGTTCTACCTCTATGTTATTTTCAGGAATGTAGACATAACATCCATCTGATGGCTGCAACTAGCAGCATATTGTGTAAGAGTACTGCAGCAACTCATGAAAGTTTTCAGACTTTGTGGAAAAGTCCTCTGGTTGAAAAAAAAAACAAACCACTGAGATTCCAAAACGTTCAGGCAAGTGCTGGAATAAAATACTGAAGTGAAACATCCTCATGGAGCAATATGAAGTGGACAATTCTTTTACTTGCAATATCTGAAAAGTGAAAAAAACCCACAAATTCAGTTTAAAGCAGGAAAAATAATTTTAAGTTACATATACAGAATGCCACCATTAAGAATACAATGCTTCTACTGCTCCTGACAGAAGGGTGACTAGACATATAATTCTGTAATATTTAAGTCCTTGAGGGTCTATGAAGCATTACTGAAGCTGATACCAAAAAGGAAGTGTGTAATGTACAGGATATAGTGTCATACCCATGATTTCTACCTTCCTGGGAAAATCCTTAGCATCTTCACTAAACCATGACACACAGATGTTCTCAGGAAAAGCATACAGAGTTATCAAAATAGGATACAAAAGCCTGCATAGGGCTTCTGCTAAAAAGAACACATCGTTTCTACGGTTAGAAACATCAGCTGCATGAAAAGCATTTTAGTATTATAATCAATTTGGTGTTGAATGTAAGAAAGTGACTGAGAAAAAAAAACAAAAAAAAAACATGTCAGCAAAGCCTAGTTTCTCTGCTAGAAACTAAGGGCTTTGTTTTAAGACTTTCAAAAAAATAATGCCTTGAAATAAAAAATAGTAACTTCAAAACAAAGACAATAAGAAGACACCCATGATCAGTCAGTCTGAGTATTCGACTTGACGCTTATAAAAGGGCCTGGCTTAATTTTTTTTTATTCTTTTTTTCTTCACCAAACTTCTAAGGCCCGAAGCTTACTGCCTAAAAATAGAAATGTTAGAAGTCCTCAGGTGCAGTAAAAATAGTCAAGCTTCAAAGAGGCGAAACAGAAGATAGGTTGTTCTGCTGATGCTGGAGTTGGCAGGCAGAGCTACAGAACTTACTGCACAAGGCTTTTGTGGGGTTGACCTGCTGTCCAGCAAGCAGCTGCTGCAGCTTCTTGATGTCTATGCGTGCCTCAGCCATGCTCTCCAGATCTCGGCCTTGAGAAGAACTTTCAGATCCATCCTCTGATGCTGAAAGTTTAAGAACATAACGCTTGGTCAAAAGACCACCTATAAGGACACACCTGATCATCACTGAACTGCTGGCACACAAAAAGGCTGTTTTTCAGAAACAGCAGTGCAAGGAAGAGGAAGCCCAGTTTTCTTACGAAGCCATCAAGGATACTGGAAGAGATTCCCCCCACAGACATGAAACAGCCACTGACCACTTTTCTTTTTAAGACTTCATTTGAAGACTTGGAAGCACTTGATGCTATTTCGTGAGGACTGACAAAAGGTAAGTACTGTTATGGGCATCACACTTAAGTAATGAGATCAGACAGACACAAAAAGGCAGCAAACAGAGAAACTTACCCCAGGGAGGATTTCCCAAGTCTTTAAAATGTGTTGTTACGGATACTAAGTCAGTTTCTATTTTCAAGTTCATTTCTCCACTCAAGTTTGCTTCAATCACCTGCAACACAACCAATCTCAGTCTCAGGCAAGCCACTTCCACACCACAGAATTACAGAAGAGTGAAGCTTTGTTCAAACACAAGCTTCCAGAAGCACGTCGGTGCCTTCACAGCCCAACTGTGCCTTTGAACATGGTTTGAACATTTCAATGTTCAGCTACAAAATATATTTCTCATTATTCCTGTGTGAATCATCCTAGTCGACCTCTCTGAAATTATGAAAAGAAAGAAAGAAATTCAATTGCTCTCCAGTACTTTTAGAACAAGTACTGGCTTTGGAAAGTTCATGTGCTGAGGAAAAGGCTTTAGAAACAAGAGACTGAAGCTGGAGAAATGCATTTCCGTCCAGTTTTTCAACAAACAGAACGGCACCTGCACAGTCCATATGACACCCACAGAAAATGGGATGCACCGAGAGCTGATCTGCAGTTGTGGTATTGCTTTCCAAGACTAAAAACCAGACAACAGCTGCACTACTGTTACAACAGTAACTCCAATCAGGACTCGGAACTGCTAGAAATCCTAGAAAAGTTCTTTGTCAAATTCCATCCTGACAAAGCATCCAACCAGGAGACTATGTATGATCTTAGACAAATCCCAATCAGATCACAAGATTCCTAAAGCATCTAAGCACTTCACTTCTGTGATGAGAAGAATTCTCAGTAACTTTAGAAGAGGCTCCTATCGCAACCAGAATCTCCTATAGAACGGGAGATGAATACTCCCAAACAATGGCCAAGTACTACCTGAAAGAACTTCTAAGCCCTTTCTGCAGCACTGATTTTGATCAGTTTTACTACCGTGATGCATCTAGCACAAATATTTAATTGTGACACTTGATGTTTTTGTTCTTTAATAAAGCATGTAAAGGATGCATGTGGTCTGCCTCCTCCCTTAGAGCTACCAAAGCTATTTCACAGAGATTTACTTATTTTCCTGCTTTGGACTAGGAGATAAGGAACTTAGGAAGGTGGGTATGCCCAGTGTTGATATGCTCCTCCTCCTGAGTGTTGCTGAACATCAAAGTTCAATCCCATCTGTCCTAGTTTTAGCTGGGACAGTGTTAGCTCTTCTTTTTAAGAGCTAGAAGAGCTCCGTGTTTTGTTTTTACTCAGAGGCTCACTCTGAGAAGAATGCTGATAGCGAGTTGATGTTTGAGACTCCAAGGACTTTTCAGTGTGCCGGAGTGCAGAAGCACGGTGGGATAAGGGGGGAGCATAGCTGGGACAAGGGGGACACGATTCCCCTTGTGATTTGTGGTGGAACTTAAGATTGAGGGCCAAACTGGCCAATTAGTATTCCATATCACGCAGCGTCATGCCCGGTATAAAAGTGAGGGTCAGCTGGAAAGAAGGGCTTTTGCGCTTTGGCTTTCGCTGCTTTTGCTCTTTTGCGCTTGCTGCGCTTTAGCTCTATTGCCTTTTTTTTTCCTCTCTCTCCCAGTACTCCCACTCTTGGAGTACAGTCTCTCTCTGCCCCTCTCTATTTCAGGGCCTCGCGTTTGTCCGGGATTGCAGCTTCGGGATGAGACGGGCTGCAGATAAGAGGGAGTGGTGAGCATC